TCCCAACCAGATGAGGTCCTTCTCTAACCTGCTGGGGGGTGGGGTGGGTTTGGGGCGGGGCACAGACAGAAACGTGCACACAAGAAGGGTGTACTCTGCAGAGGTTTGCTGACTGGTCCTGGTGCTCCTTGTCTAGTACACTTAGCACAGACCCTGATCTGCTTTAACAAGCCAGGGAAATACGTCCATCATCAGACACAGATTGAGGCAATGTAGAGGAAAGGACCTGGGGACCTTGGACAAGTCCCTTCCCCTCTCTGTTTATTTGTAAAATGAGGGGGAGGGGAGTCTCCCAAATCCCTAACAGCTCTGACATTCATTTTACAGGGGAGCAAATTGAGATCCAGGGAGGGGAAGGGACGTGCCCAATAGTCCCAAAGCTCTTTTCTAAAGTCCTTCCATATTTCATGACTCTATACTAACCCATTCATACACTAGAGCATTTTCACTTAAACAGGAAAACCCTTAAGACAAAAGAATGAAGCTCTAACAGTTGGATTTCAAGAATCAGTAAGCAGATGGGAAAGATATTTCAGAAGTAGGGTAGTAGCCTCACTCTGTAGGTAGGTACCAATTTTCCTACACATAAGGGCAATTCTGGAGGTGATTTTCATTCTTCTCCCCTTCTCTATCATCTTCTTCCATTGGGTGGCTAGTCCTCCTACACAACCTGCCTGAATCTACCAAATGCCTGGTGGACAGTTTTAAACTGGTTGTTCCAAGACTCAATATCCCAAATTGCCCCAAACCCACCCCTTTTTGAACTTCCCAAAGGTGTCACCATTCTTGCAGTCACCCAAGCTCAAAAGCTGTGTCATCAACGACTCCTCACTCTCAGCCCACACATTCAATCAGCTGCCAAATCTTGTCATTTCTACCTTCGCAATATTTCTACAGTACAAGTCCCCTTCTCTCCACCTACACAGCCACCACCCTAATTTGGGCCATCATCTCCTCTCAACTGAATTATTGCCATAGCTTTCTATTGCAATAGTCTCCCCACCTCAAGTCTCACCATATCCTAATTCATCCTCCACACAGCTGCTGAAGTGATTTTCCTAAAATATAGGTTATTCCCCTACTCAATAAACTCCTGTGGCTCCCTATTACTTCTAGGATCAAATATAAACTCTGTTTGGCATTTTAAAAGTCCTTCACAAGCTGCCCCTAACCTACCTCTCTAGACTTATCACACATTTATAATTCTTATTATACATATATTATATTTATTACACATCCCTTTTATGAACTTTTTGGTCCAGTAAATCTGTCTTCTCACTGTGTCTCCTGGAGGGCACTCCATTTTCCAATCTCTGTGCCTTTGCATCTGCCATCCCCCATGCTTAGAACACATTCTTCCTTCATTTCTGCCTCTTAGAATCCCTACTTGATTGGTAGATTAGCCACTGATAGATCCTACCCACCCCCTTTAACACAAATATCACATATCCGTGGTGTCCTCAGAACCAGGAACATATCTGTTCTATGGGCATGTCACATACGGAGCCCATGAAGGAACCCGTGTGTGTGATGCACGCCTCACCACAGAGCCGGTGCCATATAACAGGGCTGTTCATTAGGGCCCTGTGCCTGCTCAGTCTCAAAGAAGAAAGTCAGCAAGACCCCAGAGAACAGGACGGATGCTGAAATCTACAGACAGAGCCAGAAAGACAGATGGTGCCCTGAGTGCTGAGTCTGAATTAACACATTTGGGTCTGGTTACCTCAGTACTTAGCACAGTGCCCAAGAGGATGGCATTCCAGATTCAGAGAAAACGGTTTCCTAGCGATCAGTTGTTCCCTAGTCCTAGACAGAGGTTGACTTCTCATCTGGATCCCAGGGTGAGTCCTGAGCCTGGGACAGGGGATGAGCCTGAACCCTGGTCACAGACTGGGCCCTTATCTCACCAGTGAATTCAGTTAGAGGTTAGTAAAAGTAAGATGAATTTCCACCCTCAATCCCAATTAAGGACCCTGGAACTGAAGATCTCAAAGGTCCTTCCCACCTCGCAATCTCTGATCCTGTATCTTCCTGATGAGGCCAGTTAGAGAAAGAGGGATAACCAAAAATAAAATAATTACAAATGATCTAGAGCGGCCTGGGGAGTAGGCAGAGAGGAGGGAAGGCCCTGGGCAATGCAGGGAGAAGAGCCCTTTGGCTCTTAAGTGAGGGACAACGTTTAGACTGGTTTCCCCATCCAGAGCCTGGGTGGAAAGGGAGTGCCTGAAGGGAAACTCTGTCTGAAAGACAATCAGTGGCGACCTGGACAAGAGGGACGCTTCACTGGGGTCAAACTTAGCTCTTCCTGTTCATACACCACCTAATACTTTTCCAAAACTTTCACATTCTATTGGGTCCTCATGGCACCCCATTTGACAGAAGAGTAAACTGAGGCTCAGAGGGAGAGGTGACTTGCCCTTGGTCACCACAGAGACTTAGTGGCAGAGCTGAGCTGAAAGTCTGGTCTCCTGACTCCCCGGCCTGGGCTCTTTTCCAGGCAGCCTCTCTAATCTCCTCCTATTTCTCTTCCATTCCCCCTCAGTCCCTCCTTGCTGCCAGCCAGCTGCATGCAGGGGGGTGGGGAGGAGAAGACAGAGGTTTCCAAAGAGGCCATGCAGATTATTGCTGGCTGGGGAGGGGGGGGACTGCCTAGCTGGAGAGAAAGCCAAAGACCTCTCCTCCATGCCCCCCAGTGGCCTGACACACCTTGGACTGTCCCCAACCTCCCACTGCCCCCAAACCAAAGGTGGGGGGAGGATGGAGAGAGGATAGTGTAATAAAAGGACCCATTTCTCCCAGCTGGGAGGAAGGGGGTGGGGGAGAATAATGCTGATTTTTGGCATTGCCAGACCTGTCCAGAGCCAAAGGAAGCCAGAGGAACAGGGAAAGTTAAACTGGCCATAGAGGGACTGGGAGGCCTAAGGGGACTTGGGAGAAAAAGGAAGAGACACACACTGGACCATCAGACCCCCTGCCCTCCACCCCCACCTCCAAGCTGTCCTATTTCAATAAATCAACTGTAGGAACAGCTAGGTGGTACAGTGGATAGAGCGTTAGACCAGGAGACAGAAAGACCTGAATTCAAATCCAGCCTCAGACACTTCATTAGTTGTGTGATCCTGGCAAGTCACTTAACTTCTGTTTGCCTCAGTTTCCCCAACTATAAAAATGAGGACAATAACAGCACCTACCTCCCAGGGTTGTTGTGAAGATTGAGATGACATTTGTAAAGCACTTGGCACAGTGCTTGTCACATAGCACTTGCTATGTATAGCAATTGCTATACAAATGCTTCTTCCCTTCCCTTCCCCTTTCCCATGGCCCTCAGCGAGCTCCCTGGTAGGGGACATGCAAGCCCAGGCTAGACTGGAACTAAGAACCCCCAACTTTTTCCCTGGCAAATGCCAGGGAGGCCAAGCCAGGGCCCTAAAGAGGACGTACGTAGGCAGCGTGACTGGGCGTCTCTGGAAGTGGGGACCTAGAGCAGCTAGCACTAGCTAAAGGAAGCTGGGACTGTCAACAGCTCTGACTCTTAGCCTCCCCGGGCTCAGCCTCTTCCAGCTCGGAATCAGGAGGATTTTCTGGCCTGCTGCTGCTCCCTAGAGGTTAATGCAAACAGAGCTTGGTTCAAGGAAGAAGAAAGGAGGAGGCTGACTCAGGGAAAGAGGAATCCAAGCCAGGCCAGGGGCCCAAGTCTCTCTTTTTCCTTCCTCCTCCTTTTTATCCTATTCCTTGCCTCCCCCCAGCCCCTCCTGTCATCTTCGCTCCAGGCCTATGCCAATGCCAACACTCAGTTATCTGCATAG